ATTAAACAACCATCAAATTGAATTCCCAGGGATGGAATGTTTACAATACATGTTAAAACCTTCCTTTTATAATTTTTCTTCTCTTCAAAGCTGCGGAAAATAGTTCTGTATCTTTCATGGTTTGAAAATGAAATTTGATTCTATCAATCAGCATAACCTATTCTGTAAAAGTAGTTAGTTAAAGAAACCTAGTCATGAAATAAGAAAGGCAACGCTACACCGCGTGACGTATTTAATTGCTTGCTGAAAACTCAAAGGATTGCATCCCAGTCTGAGGGTTTTGATCCATTTGTTTCTTTTCTTATCTCAAGATAAGAAATGTGGAAATGATTTTGTATTGCTTATGCTTTTAAAAAGAAATTTAGATATTATCTTTTTGGCAAAATATATTATGTGATGACACACAGATCGACGAACACTGTAACAAATTATTGAAACACTACTTAGGGCATTGAATATCTGACCCCTCATTGTTAATTAAAAACACAAAACTGAATTCTTGGCTGTTTGCTGATTTAAAACTGTCGAAGCAGGAGAATTGCAACACTGAGGTCAGTTATGAAAAGAAACAAAAGTTCCACTGTTAGAAAAAGATCAGCAAAGCCTCAGAAGACACGCCACTTCTCTGCAGGTTCAGCGCCCCTGTTTTCACATATATCTCTTTTTGTCCCTAAGACCCCATAGATTTTAAACTGTCGTAGCAAACAAATCACAAAATGACGAGCTCAACTATGAAAAGAATAAAACCGTCAATACAGAACGGGGTTAAGGCGTTTCTATTTATGTTTTTATGCTCCAGGCAGCGTAAAATATCTGTTTTATTTGCTTCTCGGGGTCCTGTTGATTAAAAACTGTCGTAGCGAACAAATTGCAAAATAACAAGTTCAACCCTGAAAAGAAACTAAAGTTTCGTCAACACAAAAAGAACAATATAGTACTCTAAGGTATGACACATCTGGGCATGTTTACGAAATTGTTAAAATTTCCTTAGCTCACTCTTGGGTGAAAAAAATCGTGTCACTTAAAGGGATAACAACTGTTCAATTTAACCAAAAATGAATTTTCCTGGGGTTAACAGCAATTTTCCCATACTTACCAATGGTAAATGAAACAGTTTCTACACTCAAGATAAGTACCTGTTTTTTCTTCTAAAAAGTTTTTTTTTTGTAATAATCTCTTAAGAGATTACTACAGAATATAGCCAACTATGGAGGTCACATGGTCTGATGGCTAGCACAAATTCAAATTTATTGCTATAACTGCTGCTGTTTTGCTGGTAAAAAAAAGAATATATTGTATTTCTATAAGTTGTTTGCAATGTATTTTTTGTAAAATATAGATTTCATACGGAGAGTTGTTATCCCTATAAGCATTTTTCTTCTTCACTAATACCTCATAATGGAATTTCTATTGGTTTTTCTTATCCCAAGAACTGGGTGAAATATCAATACATAGAAAAAAAAATACTATAACAAGTAACAATAACTTAACGTTAAATCACCCAGAAAAAAAAATGTTCAAATCGCTTTGAATAGTACTACAGCGAAGTGTATGTTGCCCGAGCGACACAATGGAATTTGATTTGCATAGCTCCAAAATAGTTGATGGTATATATTACATTTTGCAGCACCCTGTAATTCTTGGAAAGCCACGCCCACTACCAAGCAACCACTACACGTGATTACGTGTTTGCTCTGTCAATTATGTTATATCAAGAGAACACTACATTGTGCTGCCTAGAAATCAAATTTTATAATCATACAAATTATAGAAGTTTGTAGCGTAGAGGCGACAACGCAAGCTTTAGATTAACATGCACAGATTCAAAATGGAAACAACTTCAACCGAATATTCAAACCAGTGGTCGAACACTGAAGTCAACGTAGCCTTATGTGGGATTTCGGGTTCAGGAAAATCTCAGTTCATCAACTCAATTCTTGGACTGAGAGCTGACGACCCTGGCGCGGCGCCCGTAGATTCCTTTGGTTCGCAAAGTATCACAGGGCAATATAAACACCCAGAGCAGCCAGGCCTTATTTTCTGGGATTTGCCTGGAATTGGAACTGGTAAATTTGGCAGAGATTATTATTTAGAAACTGTTAACTTTGACACTTATGATTTCTACTTGATATTTGGACGAGGGAGATTCTATGAAGAAGACGCGTGGTTTGTTAAACAGGTCAACCTACGACGAAAACGTTTCTTTTACGTTCGAACGCACATTGACCAGGACATAGCATCCAAGAAAAGAGGGGGTGACAAAACTTCAGTCGAGGAATCATGCCTATATACCGTTCGAAATGACTGCGAGACTCAAATTAAAAACGCTGGCATTAAAGCGACCCATACTAAAGTCTACTTGATATCTACACGGTTGCAAGACAAAGACAAATGGGACTTTCCCAAGTTGAACTCGGACATGCTTCAGCTTCTGCCTCGTATAAAAAAAGAAACAGTTGCAGTGGCCATATCTGTGCCGTATCCTTCCGCCATCAGAGTCAAAAGCCAATACCTGCTCGATAATGTCTGGCGTACTGTTTTTCTGTCAGGGATACTAGCTGCGGCCCCCGTTCCGTTTCTCCCCCTTGTTGTTGAATATTTTTTAATTCTACGGCAGATAAGAACTTATACAAATAGCCTCACACAAATGGAACTTTCGTGGAGACGTTTGGGTCTCACGAGCTCATGGAAATTTCAAGTTGCAGGTGTTGGCAGGCTTCTTAGCGAGTTCTTAAAGTTTAACCTCTACTTCATGATGAGCCCATACTCTATCTATGTCACCGTGTTTGCGTGTGCATTGTCGGCCTATCTGTCTTATCGTATGACAGGTTTCATACTACACAGGACTTTGAAAATTATCGAAGACGAAATGTTAAAAATGTTCAAATAACTTTTCAGACATAACCAAAAGACATGAGAGAGACGTGATTGTTATTGTAATAATAATGTTCTATTTAATCTTTCCTTCTTATTGTTAAATCAATGTTGTTGTTCGTAAAGATTGAAATTTAGATTACAACCAATCAATCAGTATGATTTTAGTAATATTCTTTGCATTTAGTGAATATCCATCTGGATTGTCAAGAAAACATTGCTTTGTCTGTCCCTTGCTTAGTTTATTAAATTTTGTAAATTATTTTCCTTTGTTATGTTGTTCAATGCTTCGTATTTAATCTTCCCTTTGGATTTGAAGGTATCTATGACTTAAGCAATAGTATGAGAAATGAAAGGCCCAATAAATACATAGTAAGAAAGACTTCAAAATGGATAAGTTGTCCGAATAACAGCGGCAAATAATGGCATGTGTCTGTTACTATTGTGTGCAATTTTCGGAATATTTTGCTTCAAATATTTTAAGTTACATTTTTATTTGACATTAAATATGAATAATTAAATGATATCTGCAAAGCATGAATAGTTTTATTGAAACCATAAAGTCTCGAAACCCTTACCTCCTTCATTGAGTACACAGATACTGTATGTGTATTTATTATTCTTATAGCAACGAGCTCGCGTCGTTTTTATTGCATAACATGAAAGAGAAAAAATACTACGGTTACGTTCTTATCTTAATTCTTTTAAGTACAAATTCACTGTAGTTGTGTGATACCAAGGGGAATCTATTCCTGTATATGCTTCTTACTCGCCAAAATATTCTCAAGTTTATTGATCTGTTCGTTTGTTTGTTTGTAGGCAATTTTTGTGTCATGATAAGAGACCATAATTTTAGGGATTTTTGTTTGTAGAATACTACTAGAACCCTACATCAGCATCATGCTTACGGTCTTTATGTAAAAATATCCAGAAGATTAAAGAAAAATTAATATGGCACAGCCCACTGACAACTAAGAAAATTGAAACTGGATAATTACCAGAACGTTGATTAGACCGGTGGGCTCAGTTTTACGCACAGAAGTTAAACAAACAGTTTTTCTATTTTCATTAAAACGACAACGGTGATCTTTGGTTTGAAACGACACTTGTCATCGATTGGTTTGGAACGGTTTGGTTTCTCTGTCTTTAAGAGACCGTACGCAGTTAATTTTACAGATTTTCTTGGCTTTAACTTGTATGTTTCGATGCAAGAGTAGACATTACTGGCTATTCTTATTTACCTGGATTGCTCAATAATTTGGAAACCTCTGTACGTCCCGATAACGTCACCGCTAACCCGCAATAAAAGAGGAGCGTCATTCGTCGGCGATCCATTTTTACCGTAGCTGATGTAAACTCATATAAGGTTTTCATTGAAACATCGTATATTAATGACTATAACTGAAGATTCACCTAGAATACAGAGGGGACCAGCAATCTCGAAAAATTGTAAGTAGCTTATATAATATTAGCATAGGTGAATGATAGTAAAGTTTATTAGTTTTAAGTGTAAAAAAAAACACTACGTTTTAAGGAGTGAGCTCATCATTCCACTTTTTCTATTTGTTGATTGTTGATTTAAGTAAGTACTTAAAAATAATGTTATTATAAATGAGCAGTGACTGAAACACTTAGACGTAAAAGAAGAAGCTTTAGGTTTACCCATGATGTAAACTGCAAGAGTTTCACGTCCACACAAAGCCACTCCCGCACATAATCGCGCAGCTTTCAGTTCAGTTCAGTTCAATAGTCAATGCACATTTTTGGAACCTCGACTTCGTGTTTTCCATAATTTTAACTCGATCAGGGTATCGTGAGACTGCGAAGAATTTAAGCGTAGTTGCCATAGCATCAAATGTACATGTACCTTAAGTTATTAAACGCGTGTATGCATGTCTATCTTTTATTCTCTTTGCACGTATTTTAGAGTGATGCTTTTAAGATAGCAACACATCTAAAATCTTCAACTTATGTTTAGGTACTTACAGCTGTTGCAATAGCTTAGCTTCTATTTGTTTATTTCAATTACTCTTATTTAGTTTATTTTTAAAAGAAGAAAGATTTTAGGGTGCTTTTACGGTTATGATCCAATTAGACGTCCATCATTGCAGGTTTTCTTAATAACAATGGCAGAAAAATCACAAGAGACATCCAAATACCAGTTTATTAGAGAAGAGGAACTCGAGGAATATGAAGCGTACTATAAACAATATGGTTTTGGACAATTCGCAGAATTCATGGCAAACAAGATAAAAGAAGCTGAAAACGTAACCGTGAAAATTGCAGTGACTGGAATGGCCGGCACTGGGAAATCGGTCTTTGTGAACACATTTCGAGGGCTTACGGCAGATGATCGCGATGCAACTGAGGCTGGATCAATAGAGACGACAGCGGTTCCAAAGGAGTACCAACATCCAAATAATAAAAACATTACCCTGTGGGACTTACCTGGAGTTGGAACGTCCAAATTTAAGAAAGACGATTACTTGGAAAAGGTTAACTTTGGTTCATATGACTTTTTCCTTATCTTTACCAAAAGCCGTATTTTGGAGGACGATGTATGGCTTGCCAAAAAAGCTCAGCTTCGGGGTAAGAAATATTTTATAGTCAGGACACATATTGATGTCGATGTAGAAAGTTGACAAGCGAAATCATCCAAGGACACATAATATCAAGCAGTTACTGGAGAGAATCCATGATAATACCAAGAACCTGCTTGAAGAACAAGGTGTCTACCCAAAGGGCGGTGTTTATCTAATATCTACACTCCTCGTCTATGTAGACCAGTGGGATTATCGCAAACTAGAACGCAATATGCTGCATGAACTTCCACGTGAAAAAGGCGAAGTGCTAGCTTTGTCTCTTAGCAATCTCTCCGAAAATTTGATCAAACAAAAGTGCCAGATACTTCGGAGTCGCGTTTGGAAAAAGGCTATCTTTTTGGCAGGGCAGGGGTTTGTCCCCTTTGGTTTAAAGCGCGTCATGCCGCAGAATGTTATAGACTATTTTGTCAAAGAAATGACTAATTATAGAGACGCGCTGGGTCTAGATAACGACTCTTTAAGACGTCTTTCGCAGAAAACTGGCGTAGAACTACAGAGCCTTATTTCTACGACAACCGAAATAATTGAATTACCGACGGGTGATTTCACTCTCGAAGGAGTGATGAAATTTATAGCAAATTTTCGTAATCCCCGGGAAATAGCAAAGCCGGTATCGGAATTTTTGCTCAAATTAGGCCGTTTATATTATGACGCATACTGTTTGCTTCACAATATTTTGGATCGTTTGGAATCCGCCTCGCTCCAAGTACTCCAGTCGACTTTGCCCTCTCCTCCACACGTTGAAGCATTATACGACGGAGCACAAGGTGATGGCGACGAAGCCTGACATTGTAAGACAAACTTTTCACCTTTGCAAGATGCATGTGTATAAGAAGGCAGTTTTATCCTATTTGTCTTTACCTGTAAGTTCAATTCTAAATTGAATAAGTGAAGTCTAGATAAGAAACATTTTCTCCAAAGCAACGAATTTGAATAATAAATGTCAACCATTTAAAGATGCCAGAGAATAGAAAAGTAATGGCGATTAAAAAATATGGTGTTAATGTTTCCGTTTCATACATGTATCAAAATTTCATTTTTTAGATTATATAGTGTTATATATCATTGCTATACATAAATATAAGAATGATGGAATGGTCACATATATTTCTTCACAGAAATTGTGCGTTTGTATGGTATATATGCACTTATTCCTATGCATACATAAAATAATGATGACATGCCAGATAAATTGTATGTAATATACATTTGCACTTATTGCTAGAGGCCTATATAATTATAAGTTACAGTGTGGTGTGATTATCAGTTGTGTTTCTTATACCTCTACAACAGAGTGTTGACTTTGTGATATCTCTATAGTAGTTCTGATCTTCTTTTTGTGCCTTTTGTAAAGCAGATTGCGACTTTTCTTTAAAGGTTTTCATTTTTTGGGACCATGAAGAAGCTGTACTTTTGTGCTAGGCTGCACAAATTGATGCTTTCAATTTTTTAGAGGATAACCATTTTTAGACTGGCATAGTGGAGTATGCAGGAAATGGAGTTCGTGGTGTTGATTTTGTGTTAAGCATCATGTATCATTGACAAATTAAAAACTATTTTATGCATCATAATTTGCTTTAATGTCTGTACAGTTTTGCTGCTTGCTTTTAAAATGCTTCTATTTACATATGTAATGTGGATTTTAAGAAAATAGAGCAATTCGAGCATGTATTCCTTTTCATGAATAAATGTATCTTGCGAAATGATTGCGTTTATTGAATGCAATAATGATTGTCGCTACACTGTGGGGTATTTTTTTTCGAGACAATATTAATTAGATAATATAATGTTATTTACTAGTTAGAAGATGTCTACTGTTATTAAGCAGCAATCATCAGGGTTGGTCGATAAAAGCATTGACATGCATGTTTGTCTTCTTTATAAACTTATTCGTTAAAAGATAATAATAATAATAATAGTGATTAAAAACAGACTCTGGGGTTTAAGTTAAATAGAAAGCAAGACCCTGAAAACTGTTGTAGACTACAGCATATTAATTCGAGATAAAAAATATTCAGTACAAAGTTCCTCTGTACCTCGTAAGCAATTGCTTGTTTAATGAAATCTTATCACAGAAAGCGACCGTGTGGCCTTAAAACAACTGAATGTTTTTATTACTTCAAACGGTTTAAAGAAAAGCACAAAAATAGTTCACATGTATGGAGTATTTTGTTCTGAAATGTTATTTTGAATAACAAGCATTAGATTTAATGTCAGGAAGCGTGATCAATGACAATAGGCACTTCTATTGTGAGAAAGGTGTTTACAAACTGCAATACCAAGCAATTGATCCCTTTATACTGTTTCTCTTGTTGTTGAAGTGAAAATTGCCACCCCATGGAGAAAAGAAAATTCAAAAATAAATTGAAACACTGAAAAGCGATATGTGCTTGTTACAAAGAGTACATAAAATGTACATAAAAAGAAAGACAATGACGACAACATGAACTGCATGTTTGAATCCTGATTTAGACTGAATAATGATCTCGCCTCTTTGCGTAGTGAAAAGACTATCCCGGAATGGTTTTAAGAGAGAATTACACCAATGCATTGGACATACATCTTTGTCTGGGTGCACAAAACACTAGACATAGTGATGCTTTAACGAAGACGACCTTCATTGAAATGATGAGTTACACGTGTATTTTAGTATATATAATTACGTGTATTTTAGTTTATATATATATATATATATATCAATGGCAGGTACTCTTTTCACAAAATACACCTTTAATAAAGCGGTTGATATATATTTTAGATTTTCTGATGATTTGGTTTCATCAAAGAAGACTAAAAAACCAGAAGACTATTATTTTTAAACTTAGCCCCCACCCCTTCACCGACTTAAAATAAGCTTACTACGCGCGTGCAATATCAAAACAGGTAGATTCAGAGAGGTAACAAGATTTTCTGAAGATTTGGTTTCATCGAGGAACACTAAAAAACTAGAAGTCAACATCAAAATTCAATCCTAATTTACTTCTGAAGTCTGATTGCCTTCGAGTGTCATACTCGGTGTCGCGCAATGTGTTAGAGAAGACTCGTCACCTCTTGCGCACTACCATATGGCGTGGGGTTCGAAGTCCTCTGAAGGGCCCCGAAAAAAAGTGATATTTTAGGGGGCGAACAGTGCCATTTGGTACGGCTTAGAATTATGATTCAGCTAGTCAAAATTTTAGTCTCAAGAAGGGACGATTGGTGTGATTTTTTTCAGAAACCGAGGGGGGGGCAGGGTCCCCTTGACACCCCACTGCCACTGCATATCAGCAAATGTACCACAGTATAGTCATATAAGGTACATTATTTTCAAATCAAATGCGGTGGTGGACCTAAAATGATGTCTCAGCATGAAGCAGCATGAAGCAGTATTCACGGAAGTCAAGACTGGCATTGCTCTACTAAATAACTGTTTTTATTAAAAGGAAACGTTTTTTTACAAATATACAGAATCACAATAAAAAGCGTATAGCTTGCTTGATCAAATGCTCCTTTTTGCACTGGTTTGTAAATTTCCATAACTGATTAAGAAAAATTCACATTCATAACTGGTCGTCGTAAGTAATTCTTAAGATTTTTTTCTTGTTCAAGATTAAAAGTCTATAAATATCTAAATGAACCAATGTATAGCATCATCTAATAGGTTCCATAAAAAGGAAATGCAGAAAGTCAGCTAAAAAGAAGTTCCCCTTGCTCCTCTTGCAGTAAAAAAATGTCAAAATTACATAACAAATATTAGCAAAATGTCCTTTTTGAAAAAAGATCTCAAACCACACCGAGTAAAATATTTCCAAATTTTCGCGCCAAAAATCCATAAAGATGATGCGTTTTTTTTTTTTCAAAATTGCGTCGTAATCCCAAAAGTGGGATCTATGTATGTACTGCTGTCACATTTCCGCTTAGCAATGTATATCATATCTGGTGTGATATTCGACCCCTCCTGTAACAAGAAAAGACACAATCTGCAATAGTTATTCACAATGTGTAAACAAAAAGGGATATTGGAAATGTTTGTTCTGTGAAAGAACCTAGTAGGCGTTGGTTTGTCAATATTTTAATATGTATTGAAAGGCACCTGAGCAAAAGACAATGAATCGTACTGGATTTAGGTTGTAATTAAGTTCATTTACACATACCCATACAACACAACGCGTGGCAATATTTGAATTGCCAGCTGACACCGGGACACGGCATTCCGCCGTTAGAGGGCGCTGGGTTATCACACGCGCGCTTGCGCGTCTTGGCACATGTTCCTTGGTGACAACCTGACCACTGACCCCATGTTGACCATCCGCCGTCCACTACAACACGAGAAAGTAGATTTGAGAGGAAGGTAGAAAAACATTTTATTTACTATTTGATTTTTATTACTTAGAAAAAAAAACGTTTGCCTTCTTCTATATATCCTGCATTCGCAAATAAGAAAGGCCCATTGCAACACATGAACATAATTTGGTTAAAAAGGCAGATAGTTCTTCTTCATATCATTTTCATTGAATTTTAAAATGTGGTATGCTCTCTTTTACCCCTTCTCGTCATCCTGAATTCGCCATAAATAAGGAGTAGGCATATTTGTTTTAATCTGAAACTCTGTAGAATAATATACAGATACAGTCTTAGACCCCATTCCCAGAGATTAAATCGATCCAAATTAGATCGACCTAACTCCCTGGGGGTTCACGCTAAATAGCTGTCAGCCGAGCGGGCACGAAAGTTAATTACCCCCTTACAGCTTGTAGTAGGCGGGACGGACATTTAAGCCAGATTATCTGACAGTAATCTAGTGATACTCCCCACGGGGATAGATCGATCTGAATGTCTGGGAATACGCCCTTATACGGCATCTCTTCCATAGACTCGACACGTGCTGAAAACTGAAATGGAGGGTTTGTTTAAATCTATGGACCTTAAATTCCATTTACTGTATCTGAAAATAAAATGGTTTCCGTCCCTTATATTTCGTGATGAGACCCCTTCAGCTTGTCGAAGAACCAGTGAATTCATGCAATTGGATACACTTAATGTACTAGTTTTTCTATGCAGATTTGTTACTTACAAATTCCATACACATTCATCAATAAACCTACCACCACAAGACATCTCGTTGCATGTCTCTGTCATAACATCTGAACCAACACAATCGCTCCCTCCACCAGATGGCGCTGGATTGTTGCACTGTCGTCTGCGTGATCGCGTTCCCGAACCACAGGTGGCGCTGCACTCTGTCCAACAGCATGACCATTCGCCCCAATTCCCATTTACTGGAAAATGTTTTTAACTGATAATTTATTATTTCATGACATTGTACAGCATGAGCATCAACAAAAATTAATAGAAAGATAAATAAACCAATAACTGAAAATAAATAAATGAGAGTAATTAAATGGAATAAAGCTAATATACAAAAAGAAAAAAAAGAAGTTAAATGAAGAAAAAATTAATGAAGAAAAAATTAAATTTATCTATTCATCTTTTTAGTTTATCACCTGGGCATTCCTGTTTGTTACATGGATTGAGTTCATAACCAACGTCAGGGCATGCTTTGCCGCCACCAGATGGCGCAGGGTTACTACATGACCTTGACCTGACTTGAACTCCCCCGCCACACGTCTTCGTGCACTCGCTAAATTCCGACCACGTACTCCATCCACCGTCAACTATAATATAATATAATATAATATAATATAATATAATATAATATAATATAATATAATATAATATAATATTCCAATTGATTTTTAAATAGCAAAAACTGAACACAGAGACCAGTATGACCTGTTTTAGTTTATGAAATGTTTTCAATCTTACATATATTTTTATGTTGCTTAAAGTCATGATTAGAAACACAATCACGATCAGAATGATTTTTTAAATACCTGAAATTGACCCTCTTCTTAAAACAAAAGTGAGGTTTATTATTATTTTTTAGATTTGATAAACAGAACCTTTATAAATACCTCTTGCACGTATTTAATTATTTATTTATATAGCAACTTTACTGAAGGCTACTGAAGGTAGGGATGCAAACTTACTCGATGGAATAGGGCAGTCCGTCAGTTTACAGGACTTCACTTCTATCCTTGGCTCGCACGTGCTGCAGCACTCGTACGTCCTAGACTGTATGCCATATCCGCACGTGGTGTCACAGTCTGACCATCTCGTCCACTCACATACTGGGAAGATAGAGGACTATACTATACTATACTACATACTATACAGAAAGACTTAATTAATACATGCTTTCATAAAGTACAGACGTTTTTGAAGAGTCGAAAACAAACGTGGAAACTTTTGGTATATATACATGTAGATATAAAAATATACCAAGTAACAAGAATTAATAAGAACTTTGAACCGCAACTTAAAGTTTCTAGTACGTTACGGAAACCAAATTCCAAAAGCCTTCAAAATATATATCAGGCTCTCCGAAGATGTATACGAAAATATATATCATAAAATTTATTTTCACCCCTAATTTTTAGCCTAGACTTCTCTACAGTACTATTCCTTGAGCAGTTTGGATTGGAGATAAGTATCCAAAAGGTTCCAGATCTGATTTGAGGGTGATTGCTGTGGATGTGTCAAAACCGGGCAAATCCAGATTTAGTGACAAGCAATATGACAATACGTGGACCCTGCTTAACATTTGAAACATATACATCACCTTAACTAATGTTTACATTTATCTCCCAAAGCACCTGCCATTTAGAATAAAAAACAACTTTATCTATATACTTGTGGCATGTTTATGACTGCTGCTCCTGCCTCTAACCAGCGGGGTGCCATAGTAACAACAGTTTAAATTGCCATTACCTTATGCTCTTATAGGATAGTGATTCATTTATGTATCTAGGTCAACGGCCGCGGGAAGGTGGGGGACTCTTTCACAAAATGACTTCTGAGTTCTAAGGATAACCAAAGAACTGCCAAAGTCGGCTTCGCAGAGTTGCGACATTGATCTAAGAATTATAGAGCATTGGTGGCCTTCAATAAAAATATTTGACATGCCAAACTAGGTCATTAACACAATTATAATGACACGGGCAGTTCTGTACCATTCATAATAAAGACAATCACATTTTGCTTTAAATTCTTAGTAAAAATTTAATTAAGATAGACGAAACAAAATAAGCGGCGTTTTCGGTGCTTTGTGAAACGCAACTTAGTAGGCTAAAAAGGAAAAGATGCTAACCCCAAGCCTGGTATTAGACTTTATGAGAAGTTGGCACCGGGTGTTTTTAAAAGTAATGGGTTTTTGTCTCGACCAGTGCGATGCATTCAGGTAAACGAACATTGACACATTCCACTGTTACCATCCAAGCAGCGGGAGACCAATTAAGCCATATTTAAGTTGAAAGTGTTGCGATTAAAATAGTCAGGAGTGGGAGATATTTATGGCAATATAACAGCTGGTCGGCTGTCTCATTGCATGTATCTTTGACTAGGGTGCATCAAAAGTGGCAAGGAAACAGGAATCAGAATGAAATGGAGACATTCAACGTGTTATCAATGCTAATTGATGCAGCTGTTTTACTGTTTATTTATTGTTGCACTTGAAATTGCAAATTGCTTGCCTAAATATGCTAACGTGATTCTGACTGGAACGAGTATTGAAACCCTCGTCACGACTCTCTTAACGCAACACCATGTGCTTTACCTGTGCAAAAGGAATCTTAAGAAGTTGTAATTATTTGGCGTGGCTGTTATGTAACCTTGACTTATTTACACCAAATTGCTTTTTTTCTGTTTCTTCGTTAAGCAGCTAAGTACGAACAGTCATTTAAACCATTACGTTAAAAAGATTTATCTTATTCTCACCAGTCTGCATTTTAAACTAATGCCTCTTCACCTTGTTTTCAAAACGAACTTAAGCCGAAAAATTGGTCTTAACGTACAGACCAAAATTTTTGTTCCAATCTTATTGACCCGAGATAATTCAATTGTCATCCACTTAAGTGGTTTGTCATGACTGCTTATAGCAAGAAGTCTGACCAGTGCGATCTTTATGAAGTAAACTACAGAGGGGCTACCTTAACATGGATTAGATCAAAACTTTGGTCAGAAAGTTAAGGTCCATTTAAAGGCTTAAAAGCTAAGACCCCTTAGACACCATCGATCCGGCTACTCTCGCTGAGTGCAAACAATTTAACTAAATGACACGTACGTCTCCTTTTGTTTCCAATATATATATATATATATATATATATATATATATATATATATATATATATATATATATATATATATATATATGTATGCACTTGTAAAACTGATTACATTCAGCAAGGGTCCCAGCAGAGTTGGAACGATTTACTTAGACCGATGGTGTCTAGAGGGAATGGGACCTCCAATCCTCATCCATGCTAAAGCCGTAGATATTACAGTACATTTGAGAAAGCTTATATATTTACCTTCTGGTGTGGTAGGGGTAGTCGTGGGTGTGGTCGTTGTCGACGTTGGGGTTGTCGTAGTTGTAGTAGGCGTGGTCGTGGTTGTAGTGGGCGTAGTCGTAGTTGTTGTAGGCGTGGTAGTTGTCGTCGTTGGAGTTGTTGTAGTTGTGGTAGGCGTGGTTGTGGTTGTAGTGGGTGTGGTCGTGGTTGTAGTAGGCGTGGTCGTGGTTGTAGTGGGTGTGGTCGTAGTTGTAGTAGGCGTGGTCGTGGTTGTAGTGGGTGTGGTCGTGGTTGTAGGTGTTGTAGTAGTTGGAGTGGTAGTTGTAGTCGTGGTCGTAGTAGTCGTAGTAGTACTTACAACTGGAATAAGAGATAAAATATACTGTGGTCATGAATGCAGGTAAAGTAAGAGAAACGCCTTGCAAAACCTTGATAATTACATTTCAATATGACACTCTATTTTGACCAGAAAAAGGTATTACACTCAGATATGCTGTCTTGCACTTCAGCATTTCAAGGATATACGCTATAAATTTAAAATACATATCTACAGTGTGCGTCTACCATATTGTAAAACTGGACAGGAAAATGCACCTAATTTTTGTACTATATACTATAATATTTGTATAAGTGTGAACCAGGTCCACATATATAGTGCCCTTTTTTCATTCACCTTGACAGGCAGTCAGTCCAATATCCCCGACAATCTCACTCAAGCTGCCCAAGTCTTGGACCTGTTTTTAGGTAGATAGATACATAGACATGAGAACAAAAGTACATGCACAATGGAATGGGAGACGGCATTCCCCCCATGTCATCTACGAAAGAGTACCCTTTGATACAGGATCCAGTTGCCATTGTTTTGTACTGGTAATTAAGCCCCGCCTGAGATTTTGACCCATTTGCGTCATGCTAACCCCAACCTGCGTGAATGCAATGGAGGGCGGACTCTGTTACCTCAACCCTCAGTTTCTTACCACAGGTGTAACGAAACTGAGGATCCGTGTAACTGAATGTCCGCCCTCCATTTAGTTATACAGGTTAGGGTTAGCCTGAGCTAAGTGGGTCAAAATCTAAGGCGAGGCTTACCTGTACAAATGAATGGGCAGCGGACTCTTGAGGGTCTCTTGAGGGACTCTCTGTCACGTTACACGGGCTTCAGTTATATGTTCAATTCTACTCTTAACGCAAAAAAGTCATATTTCAACTAAGGCTAGAAAACTTTAAGTCCACTTAATAAAGCAACAATTCGAGTTAATTACGGGCCATTTCTTACTGTTGTAAAACAGGGTACCCTTACACAGCGGAAGAACTGCAGCTAATAGTAACACATACTACTGTCATGCATAACCTACCTGGAAGACGTATCTTTCATCACCGTCAGTGATCTCAAGGAGTTGGGATCTGATGACACCGCCCCCGGCACCAACAGCTATGTTCTGGATATTGTCTGCTCTCATGTAGTTTGCAGCTGTGACGATGGACACATTCCCTGTGATGTCAGAAGATATAGGGATTTTAAAACTGCCACAGATAGTGATCTCATATCTGGTAAAACATAAAATTGACAGATGACTGCTACATTTCGGTTGGTTTAATAGTCTTTCTTTTTTAAGACACCCGGTGTGACAGGGATTGTAGTCGCCAGGATCCGTAGTCTGTTCCCCATTACTTTGTACAGGTGACATTCGTCCCATATGCTAATACCCAATTAATACTCCGACTACCCCTAACCTGTACTATTCATATAGGACCTCGGACTTCCATTCCTAGGACTACCATTCCTGTCAAACCGACATTTACCTTCGTTAGAAACTCCATCGGTCAACACAAGGGCTACCTTAAAGAGCGTGCTGTTGGCATTAGCAAAACCGTCTTCTCTTGACCCTTTCAGGGGGTTCGTTAATAAGTCCCAGCAGGCCATCATGGCGTCGGGGATATTGGTACGACCCCTGAAGAACGGCAGATCATCCAGTCGCTTGCGCAACTCGGGGACGCTTTGGTTGACGTTAAAGTCGAAGTGGACCGACACGTTGGTGGAGAAGACGACGGTGGCGTAACGCGCATCCACCGCCTCTCCGAAGCCCCCTATTTGGTCGATGACCATTTTGGCGAAGTTGATCTCATCTTGTAGTCCAGGTACGCCCAGACTGCGAGACGAATCGACTGCGAAACACATGTCGATTTTGCAGTCTAGAATTTTTGAAAAAAAAAAAAAAAAACATGAAAAATGAAAATATTTATCCATATATAAAATGCTAATAAGTACAGCAAAAAGTTTTTTTTTGCTTTGACCATGAGGCATGACGTGTCGACCTTTCATTGGAGGGTATTGGTCACATGGCTGATTCGTCGATGTGAGCCCCGGAAGTAATGGATACACAATTACGCTTATCCTCCTAAGAAGCAACACATGTTAATTTTACCAGCATTCCGCAAAAATTCCAAACAGTCAAAAACTATTTCATCATTATAGAATAAACAAGGAGGTTAAACCCAACTATGAGGATGGATGAGTTTGCCTCAATCCACGTACAATTAAGCGATTGCCTCTTTCTTTGCTTTCTTTTTTTATTTATTGTTATTATAAATTCATACTTTATTTGGGGGTGCGGGTGTAAGGCGATTTTTAAGGATTTGGATCTTTGGCAGAGTTATGCTTTGAAGCACAAATGGTATCATACAGTGTTTAAATATATGAGCAAATTTTAGGGTGTAAATGGTTTAGAATTGTTCAAAAGAAATTGGCAAATGGTGAATTCTACACGCTAAATTAATTGGCACAAAAGTGTTTGGAATATGTTATTATAGTTGAAGTGGTTTACTGAGCAGAGGTTTACCACATCGCAATATTTTTACCACAATTTGGCCACAAAACCATAGTTTTGTTAATTTTGGACTGTGGTGTACGTTAAAATCCCACTCATTCCTCAAGTTTGTCATTATAGAGGCAAATATACCTCCTGGGTGACAAACTGTACTACCATTGGTACTCCCGTGGTGACAAAATGACCAAAATGTGGAAGAAAATGGTGGTTTAGATACACGTCCAACATCCTTACTGCTGTTGCAAGCGAATATGTTTCACCTCAGTACAGGATACGGTTTTATTTCCTTCTTGGCAAAGTCAATACTTTTAACTACCACCACTGTTAACTGCTTGTTAAAATGTTCATCTTTCAATATTGCTCTAAAATTTTCATTTGCTAAGGGTATGTATTTTTAAACTATTTACATGTGTAAGTGCAACTTTTTTATGTACATGTTAAAAGAGTGTTTTTCTATATGTAGGTACATGTATGTAAAGATGAATCTCTAACGTTAAAACCTTGACTTTGACTGCCTCACTTTCTATGTATTTTCTGGATGTCCCGGCGCCATTATGCCTTATATCTAGACAGTTTATTTAATTTATGAGAGAGAGAGAGAGAGAGAGAGACTCAGAGATCGAGAATAGTACACTGAAAATTTCTTCCCCAGTGGAAAGGTGCCCGGTAGTCAGGGGTGCCTTAAGGTGGTCGGAACGATTCTATTGTATAATTTAACAGTCTGGGAGTGTTGCTTATGCTACAGCCGCACTCTGCACCCCTTGTGACCCTCACCTTGGGGAAGATGGGAGGAATTCCAATAATCATTTCAACCCCACTCTCCAACATATAAATGTTGATGTTTTTCTGCTGACTTTCAAATTTGTCGTTGTGGTGAGCGTGTTCAGGTATTTTTATAGGGTGTTTAACCACCCCAACCCTTAGGTGAATGGTGCTGGTAATCTCTCAACTAATTGTTTAGATATTTAATTGGGCGCAATGAGTTGCTTAATTTTTTAACCTTGGTGAGTAAATGCAGTTTTTCCTTCAAGCCTCTCACGTTTGTCGCTACACCTTGACTGAGAATAATATATGAACTGTCATGTGAATAAGCTTAATATGACATATGACACTTTAATGTCTGTTTTTACCAGATGGTTGACAAACGTGTTCTGTTCTGATATCTAATCCCTGTCTAGATTTTAGTGATATCGAGGCTGATACCATTTTTCCTTTGCTACCTACGGAAATACAGACATCGGCTTAAGTAACATCTCTCTCATAGCATAAAGTAAAATGAAGGACCTTAATCTGAGGGTAATGCTTGAGAAATCTGTTACAATAGAACAATACATGCAGTTTGGTAATTCTTACTGCCTGGGTACCGTTTCCATCCAAACACTGACCGAAGGAAAAGTAATAAATTTTGATTGAACGGGAGGAAAGTTGCGACCCCTACTTTCAAAGTCAACAGCACTGAAATCATTGTCCAAGATGTTCCGCCAAATATATTCTCAAATTTCACATTGCTATTTGGAATTATAATTATATACAATCTTTTAAATGTCACCGACAACTCAAGCAATACTGTATGGCCGACATGTTTTTCTATAAAAAGATAGCAAATTTACCAAAAAATTGTAACGATCATTTATTCAATTGATATAGTCGTTAGTGGTGTCATTGTACACAACATACATAAACAGAATGCGCACTGATTTCAAAATGATTTGATAGTCTCTGCTCTGTTAATCACGACATTTGAGTCCGAAAAAAATTTTTTTTATAAAATACCCATTTGAAATGCTGTTTTTTTACTCCACAGCAAATTCTGATTCATATGCAAAAGAGGGAGAGATGTTGAAATAAAAAAAATAACCGCCTATGACGAACGAATTTTTAAGGAAATTTGCTTTATATTGAAGTTAATATATGTCGCTTGTGTGTAAAGACCTACCAGGTGGTCTAATAAACGGCTGTGTTTAAGGACGTTACAAGATGAAGATGAAGCAGACCGAGACAGGAAACCATCATGTATCTTCACAGTCGTGGAAAATATTTTATGAAACGCTTTGCAAATAACGTGCAATGAAAGTTAATTAAGGTTGGAATGTATGACACCGCAAATGAAATAATTGGTATCTTTTTGCTGTACGGTTTAGCCATGCAAGGACTATTTTGTATAGATAAATGCAGTTGGTTTTCATAATTTGACTTAGATGAGCCATTACAGCCATATACGGCTGTACCAATCACTATATATAAATTAAATGCTATGCACAATATAATCAATGGGAGGGATAACGAGGAAAGCTGTAAGCCCCAAACAATTTTAAGAGTGGTCAAAAGTTCGCCTCGATTCAATTTTTTTCTTTTTTCTTTTTTGATGAACGAAAACAATGAATTGCTCACTTTGTATTTTAAGTTAAATTCTTAGTTAGTGGTACCTACTTCTCAATCGTTCCAGTTCTTCCTCAGAAATGTCGTCTTGTGGCTGCTCCATAATATCCATCGGCAATGCTGAAACTGTCTTCTGCTGTGATAATAGTGATAACACTACCGTCATGAGAAAAACAAGCAATTTTTGCTCCATTTTGACTAGAGTTGTCTGTTGAAGTTGTAGATGTCGTCTGCTTTATTTTTTTGATGTCGTTTGCTCAATTTTTAAAGTCTTCTACTCTAGTTACTTAATGGTGTTTTCCGACTGTTTTTGAACGCATCTGCAGAAGTTATTTGCGTCTTTGGCTCGAGCTGTGAATACCCTTATCTCAACTTAATGATGTCGCTTGTAATTTAATGACATCTGCTCCCTTTCTCGTGCTCTTTTTAAACCTTCCACTCAAATTTTGTTGTTATTTATTTGTGTCTAGTCGAGCTACGGAATCGCCTGCTCGATTTTTTGGTGTCGTCTGCTCGAGTTTGACAGACGGAGGTGTTTCTCGCTAGTGTGGTGATGGCACATTAAGCGCAGACGACACCTACCCGAATAAAAATAGCGCCTGCGCATACCATCGCCCATGCGTACAGATGGGCGACGTAACCTATCACCGAAAAATAAATGGGAATGTATTTCCGCATACAGAAGTTTGGTTTTAATTTGTTGCGGATGTCCAGGTACAGGTAGTTTGCAATTGGACTTTGGTTGAGAAAAGTCCATCGTTACCGAGATACAAATTAAAGGAATGCAAACTTAGGCAGAAATATTTGAATTATGCTTGCACTTCAGATAAAGAATTTGTGGTCGTGGTTTGAAAAACGTCACACGTTCATTAAAATTTTGTCCTCTGGAAATTAAAGCTTTGCTTGGACATCAAGTATCTGCTGATGTCCGTGCGAAAATTAAGGAAAATGATTAAGGAAAAATTGAAAGAATACTTTCAAGCAGTTTTTGCTACGGTCATTTATCTCTTAAGTTGGAGCTGAAAGTGTGTGTAGGGGTGGGGGAAAGGGGACGTACACCCGTTCCTTCCTCTGTATCTCTGTACATTTCTACCCAGGGTTAAATGTGCACTGACAGTACAAATGTAACACTTGATATATGAGCTATTTTATTCAAACGTCGTCGAATTTAAATTCTAACCTGCGATTAAAAAACACATTACCATTTCATTCTCCACATTTCCACATTTGATTGTTTTAATGGTGTCTAAATCGTTAATTTAAACATTCTTATATTAATTACAGTTTCGTGCAAGTTTGTTTAAGAAAATTAATTATTATTATTGTTGTTTTTTCTTTTCAATTCAATGTTGCAGGTGATTAAGACTTCGTGCACTACCCTAGTAAAACGACTGTATAAAAACATGACATAATTAAGTTAAACATTTTCTTAACAACATTGTAATGTTACTGCGCATCCTCCTACTGGGCAATAAAAAATCACACTCCTCATTCGAATTTTAATCACATTTTTATTTGAGCATGGCAGAATCTCGACATTTCTCTTGTGTAAATGTCACACAGTTAAAATCTAAGTACTTACCGATATGTTACTTAAATGTTCCATGGTGTACTCAGTGACAAAATGGCTGACCCTTGACCTGAAAAAT